AACTTGTGCGAACGGTCCGAAATATGGGCGAAACAACTTGTGCAAACGGTCTTTTGGGTGAAATGACCTGTATTCAAATATTCTTGTTTGTTAGTTATTTCTTGTGATTTCTGTCTAAAAAGAGAAAAAAAACGACGCATAGTTACAACAGCTTTGGCTTGAGAACTGSTGTCTAGATAGTAACAATATCCTAGATTTGCATATTCAAGCTAAAACTCTTGACTTTGACAGTTGGTTTGTTCTGGCTGAGAGCTGTACTGCAAGGAATCAAGAAATTATGCATTTTTCACAGTTTTTTRTAGCCTTTTTATCTTTAGATACTACTCTACTGCTCTAAGGAGYTTACTTGCTGAAAGAGTCCAGCTTGGTGTGCGATTTGGTCTCTGTGGTTGATTCGATTAACTTGAAATTGTCCCTTTTGCCTTGTTAAACCAGCTACTATTTGACTGTTTGAAGTTACTGTAGCGCTGCTAGACGTGGCAGCATTTACTCAACGATCACAAATTTTACATATAGTAGTAGCTACATGTAGACTGGGATTTATCTCGCTGGAGCTCGCCCATGCTTATCCAGAACCGAAGTTAAATTAATAAAATTGTAACAAAAAAAAACTATCTTCATAAATCGTTTACTAAAAATTCTATTTGTTTAGTAATTATAATTTGATTCATCATCTTGTTTTGTATTCGTCTACACAATCAATCTTCGAGTTGTGTTGCCGTTGGCGACTTGATCCTTGGTTGTGGGGGCACATTGTTAAAATACCCGTTACTGTCGCCCACTATTTTGGTCTATTTAGTAAATAACAAAACAAACACCTTTCAATCAAATTTTCTGTGATACACAGGATAATTTTTGTATAATCTTGTGTACTCATTTGCGTACTACATGAAACTAAACTGGACGGAGAAAAACATGAATGTAATGGGTTTCTTTTAAAAAATTTTCATGCAAGGAAAAATAACCAAATAAAAAAGCAGGGTTGAATACCAATGCCATCAGGGTAATTCTCAAGATGGCCGACCTACAATTCATGAAAATCCCAACCCCCAGGGCAGTCTTGTCGTGTCACATCCCTGTTCAGTGCCCCGCTAGCCCCGGGGGTTGGAGGCGGGGGTTTCAATTGACTAGTGCATAATGCAAACCTCAAACCTAAAGTAAATTCCGTAACTATTGTTCAGTGTTTTTTTTTTGTTTTTTTTTCAAGGAAATTGTGAGAAATAACTAGCAAACATGATTTATTTAGACCAGAAACAAATGATTGAAGGCAATTTTTTTCAGGCAACTTTTCAAAAGTTTCAAAAATAGTCCAAATCGTCACTTACACCATTTTCGCATCCAGCCCTTCATTTTACATTTATCCCACTGTGAACATATTCAATTGACAATACTATACTACATATTTCTGTCAGCTTTTAAAAGCCAGCTTTGTCTGTCAAAAATTTGTCTGTCATACACTGTATGTCCAAGTCCTTCATCCTCGAGCGTATAGTTAGACTTAGATCAGCGGTTAAGTTTTCATTACACATTAGATAGTTTATTAAACAAAGATAAATCACAGCCACAGGGCTGAAAAACTATTTAAAAAATGTTCAATACAGTATATTGATAGGGAAGCAATTTATAGCTGATACAGTCTATGAGATGGCACATGGCCAGGATGAATGAGTTTATACAGTCTCTTACGCGAGCAACCAAGTCAACTCGATTTCCAGACACTTTTTGACCTCTACATCTCAACCAGTGTTTTAATTGTAACTTGACAGTATTGTTATTTGAACCAGGAAAATTGTGCATTTCCTGTCAAAACTACTGCATTTTGGAGAGGATTTAATGAGACGACCTTAAATTTCACATACATTTATCTTGTATTGACCTCAATGTTTGTCTGACTGCAGGTGGGGG